TTTTTTTTTTTTGCCCGTGCTTCAACGTGGCCGCGTTTCGCCGGTCGGTTTACGAATCTTTTGTCGCTAACTAAATTTCAACGAATATACATACATATACATACTTGCGACAGGCTTGTAGAATACACGTTTGTACGATTTGATATAAAATGATGTTACATGTAAATTGAATTTTTACTCCCGCGTTTTGTCGTTTTCGATCTTTTCACCGCATTTTCTTTTTGTGATCAGTTCATCTACAAATTTTCCTTCGAATTTTTTTTCTTTTATCTTTTTTCTTTTTTTCAGTGCAGTATTAATTTCGATCGAGGGGGAGGAAGAAAAATTTCGAACGTGACTAGTGAGTACTCGATTGAGATAAATGTAAATCCGATGCAAGGCCGATATTTCTTGTTAATTAAGTATTCCAATATAATTTATTTTTCGTTTCGAGGCCCGAAGCTGTACCGCTTAATTTTCTCTGTACAAGGAATACATTGATCGACGATGTTAATTAAATCTCGTTCGGCGAAAGGTTTCACGAATTCACGTTTTCTCCATTCCCACGGTCGATCGTCGGGATATAAATCAAGTAATTCAACCAAGTCAGGTTGTTCGCGCTGGAAACAGGATTTGCTCGTGATTGGTCGCATCGTGGAGGTCGCAGCGTAAGAGATCGTAGGAAAGAGGAGGAAGAACAGCGCAAAGCTCTCTGAGATTACTGTCAAACGTGTCGACCAGTTTGGACGTAGAGAAATTGTCCCTCGAAGAGTCTGACGTTTCATTTTCTGAAGCTGCCATCTCACCCACGCATCCGCCATTTGTATTCCGCGGTTTCGCGACAATATTTTACCGCGATTGCTTAATTCTTTTGTTTGCAACACGCCCAACCATCATTTTCCACCGGTTCCTTCCTTTCGCTCATTCTTCTTTTCCCCCCCTTTTCACTGTATATTTTTACGAAAGTTTAATTATCGCAGATCCTTTTTCACGAAATGAAAATTTTAACTTTTAAAACGTTAAAACGTGTACTTAATAAATTGAAGGAATAAAAAATAAAAGGAGCAGTGGATTTTTCCTTAGTTCCTACAATTAGTTGTAACAAAGAAATAAACTTTTGCTTTTGGATTCACACGTGTTACGATTCCGTTCGTGAACTTTTAACGTGGTGCTTTTGTTAACTACCCTACTAGAAACGAAACTGACTTCCAGCATCCGTGGAACACGACTATCTATCAAGCAAGAAACTTATTTTACGACAGCCGGTATATCGTTCTTCTTTCGTTCCCAACGATTCATTTTTGTCAAACAGAGAACGCTTTTCATTTCCTCCTCCGGTTGCAAACCTATCAATGAGCCATCCTTTCGGACTACTACTTTCAGACCGATCCACGTGAAAAAAGAAAAAAGATATCCGAGATAAAAAAAACGACAGACAGAAACAAGAATATATACCGATAACCATAAAGATTCTCTTCTCTCTTTCAAATTATTTCCCCTCCTCTCAAATTCTCCTCATAAAATTTACATTCGTCTCGAATACCAATTACCTTTTTCTCACGCACATGATTTTCTAAAAGATTTTCGAAAGAAATTCTAATCCCGAGATATCGTTCGGTCGAGTCATGGATTCGTGCAAATTCGATCAACAAACCTAAATCCAGTTAAAGGAACTGTCATTGTTCCCAGTAACAACAGCGTTATTCTTCTTCCTTTCCTCCCCCCTTCATCGAAATCATTGGGTAGGGTTGGAGGTGACGCGTGTCGCGCCGCGGTTTAATAGACAGCCGCACAAAGAGGAAGAGAGAATTGTAGGTAGGGGAGGAGAATATATATCGAATCGCAACGCTGATCAAATTTTCCGCGGCCAGATGAGCCATTTGATCAGGGAAAGCAATGCGGAGGCAACTCGCGGTAGACCACCGCGAACACAATCCGTCGCGTACAATGCGACGCGATGAGGCGGCGGCCCTTCCCCGTTCGTCTGTTGCCATTATTAGCGAGCCGATATCGGCGAATGAAAATCTCTCCGCTATCCTCTCTGTTGATCCCCTTCCGAGGGAGCGACAGGGGGATGGAAAACGAGATGGGGGGAAAAATCGGGAAGGCGAGCGCATCGGTGTTCGAAAGAAAATGGATGTTTCGGTGTTTTTTTTTTTGCACTACTATTGTTGAGGGCCGGGCTTTCGATTACTTTCGCGATTACTTCGAAATGATATGGTGTTTGGGTATTTGGGGATTGGAAATTTCGATGGATTTGATTATCGTCGATATTTTTTCTTTTTTTAAATGTCGCAAAGTTAATTTTCAAGACACGAGGCAATCGTTTTTCAAAAATAATTGGGAAGGAAGAGAAATTTAACTCGTATGTCGCTATATTTACATCGGTATTACATTTTAGAGGATCTTGTTACAATGTTTTCTTTTAGTTTGTGCTTAAATGTGTGTGTATATAGTGTTTTCACTGATTGAGGAATCTGAGATGCAGATGAAATTTATTTCATATGTTTTTATATTTTATTAAAAAAATTTTTTTTTACTAAAACGGCAAGTTAACTTGTAATATATTCCCAGGAAAATATTTTCATTTTGATCGAATATGAAAAAAAATTCCGGCAATTGATTAGCAACCTTCTTCTAAAATATAAATACGAGTGCAAAGGATTAATAGATTTGTAATATGGTAAAGTCGAGTGGTACAACGATGTAATATTTAACTAAATTTACTTTGGAAGAAGAATTTTAGGAGAACAGGATTAATTTTAACCGCGCTGGAAAAAAAGAGAGATTTAATTTAACGAGATGGAGGATTATTTCTTATATACCAATAATAAGAAGATTGATCACACGATATGGGAAATTATTCAACTTGGAAGAAACGTGACGCTTAACGAACAACGTTAATCGGCGAATAAGTTGGCATCAAAGTATCGCTAGCAGGAGGATTACACCGTGGCGCAAAGCTCGGCAAAGTTTCGCGAAGGAACGAAGTCGCCGACGTCATTTTACGTAAATCCATCGGTCGAGCGCGGCTCGTTTCGTCCCTCTCAAGTCTGTCAACGCGATACTCTTTCTTCGACAGCGATAAACTTACGCGAGGAATACCTCTTCTCTCGAGAGGGAGGGATTCCTGTTCAAACTAAACTCTGTAATTGAAGTTTCAAGAATTTCAACGACAACCGACTTCAAAGGGCGCGCGCTGCCCGGAGATTTGTAAACCGCTCGAATCGCGGTAACACATTGGATAGGAGAAATAATTGTCTTCGACATTTAACTTGTAAAGAAGAAAGTTTGGTGTATCGTGAAATTTGGATATTAAAATTGAAATTGGAAATACATCGTTTTATTAAATTACACGATATACTCGTCCGTAATTTGAAACGTTTTAAATATTCGTCCAAATGTTCAAATAACTAGAGTTTCGCGTCGTAAAAAAAAAAAAAAAGGAAAATGGATCTCGAGACGTGTCGTAGCAAAAACGTGTTAAAAACTTCATTATTTGAAATCGTCGGAACGAATCGTGTAACTTTTTTACGAGTTTCAACGTGGAAAATGTATCGTAAAATCTGGTGAAAGCAGAGAAGAAACTTATGCAAATGTATCGGGATAATTTCGCGTTTTGACGAAACTTAAAGGTGAGAAAAAACTTTGGCGGCAATTACCATTTCTAACCATAATGGAGGTTTAAGCCCACTCGTGAAAAATGTTCGCGAGATCAAGCATTCAAGAAACGTCACTAACCCAAAAACACGATCGCCCAAATATAATGCAAACACTAATCCAATAATCCGTAAATCCCTGCTCTACCGCTTCCAAACTCGAGCCATCAAAACTACCACCCTTCAACAAGAACATCATGGACCAGGATCACGTAATTGGTCCACCTTGCCGCGTATCCGATTACCACTCTAATTTACGACCGCGTATTTTTCATTGCGACAACTCCGACCAGCCAGCAATTCGGCTCACCGTTGTGATAATAGACCACCCACCCACACGCTTATACTATCGAAATCAATGGGGTGTCTAACGACTGCCTGGGGACCGGTATCCGCGAAGCGACGACAATCTCTTTCACGATGAGAATAGAGAATAGAGCTAGATGCTTTTTAAATACCTGCTAAGCCGATATTCCGATATCGATATAATCTAATTTCGTAAAATAATACAGGATGGTTTTTTTCCTTTTTTTTTTTTTTTTTCATTGCGTCGTCTCATTTCTTCAAGGAATAGATTTTTGCTGATAAATATTGAAAAATGGACAAAGTGTATCAATAATACGCAATAGTGTATTTATTTTAGAGGAAATAACGAGACGAGTGTTGGGATAATAGGGCGGCGACGATAATCTGTTGCGCTGCTGGTGACATTTATAGGAACAATAATTGGTATATTTATCGCGGTTGGCGCGCCTCTGGATAATATAAATATTAAAACGCTCGTCGTAATTTACATATTGTTGGCAATCGACGGCCTATTGTTCGCCGTATAAAAATCGCGCACGAAATTATTCGGCCATGCGCTTCGTCCTCTGCTTTCCACCCTTCGGAATTTATTTAAGGCACGATTTCGTTCGACTTTTTGAGAAAAAAAATCGTCGAGAAAGATGGATGGATACATTCGACTTTCATTATCGGAATGAAAAAAAATCGTCGTGTAAGAAAGAATCTAAATAAATAAATCCCTTTCTGTACTCCGCTCGAAGAAATTTTTTCTTCGCCATTATTTTGTTCATCTTTTTGAAAAATTTGCAAACGATCAACGACGAGTGCGCGCGTACATTGTTTCATCGAGTCAATATGATATAGTTGCGACTACAATCGCGTACATTTCGTGGAAAGTCGCGTACAAAAATCGAGTATCGTATCGCATCTCGTGGAATATCGATTGGCCGCGTAGCATCTCCGGTTCGGCTGTCATGTTTGCTCGTTGTAATTTCGCAAATGGTCAAATACAGGTCGCGAACTCGTGACATAAGTGTTTAGGGGAACGACGTCGTGCGTTTGACACCTCGTACATGCTCATCTCCGTTTCACGATCATCCTAGCGAACGGAAGTTAACGGAACAAGCATCCACAACGCGGACTACTTGAACGCGCGCGTTAAGCAATCAGCCCGCAGATTATTAAGCAGTAACCCGAGTTATTTAGGCAATCTCGCTCGCGGTTCCCCTATTATTTCGACGCTGAATACTCGCTCATCCCGGAAATTATATTTCGATATTCCCGCGCACGTTATTCCCGGAAGCGATTCACTCTCTCGTTACATCGGTATCGAACGGGAAGAAACGTTGCGAATGATTTCTAAATTTATCAAGACGCGAGGAAGAATGGAAACAAATCGTTCCGACGATCTCTCGTATCGACGCAATAAAGTTCAATCAGAGAAATAAAATTCGATATCCCGATGAATAATAATCAAGCGCGATTTTCGTCGTTCATTATTATAACGACAATCAACCCCTCCCGTTCGTTAAAACGCCAATTGCAGGGTGTTGTGTCAGACGCTTGAAAATTGCGCCTCATCCCCCTCCCTTCCCCTCGAACGAGGATGGAACCGAGGACGGAGAGGGTGGAGGAAGAGTCGAGATTACAAATTAATCCGATTATCTCCCCGATAAAAGAGGAATAAACGAAATCAAACGGGAAAATCCCTCCAGGTATCGTGCCGATTTTTTCCTCCCTCCCCTCCTCCTCCGAATAATTCCACGATTCTTGTCCTCCAATTATGCCCGTGCTCGTTACCTCGAATTCGTTTCTTATTAAACCTCCCCTTCTCTCTCTCTCTCTCTCTCTCCGCCCCCTTCATCCTCCCCCGCTCGATCCCGCGGTTATTTCATCCGACTCGATGAGAACAAATGTCGAAAGCCCGAGACATTTGTTAAGCAAACGTTAGGAGATGAGGACGAATCGTCCAGCCTGTATTACACAAGCGAGTAACCTAGATCATGGGCTATCGAGCTCGTAATGTCAAGTACGGCGAAGGGGTAAGCAAGGTCCGAGCGAGTGGATCGATATCGAGGAACACGGGTCGGAAAGGGGTAATGGGGATCGGTGGGGTGAAGGGGCGGGAGTAACCTCAAACTACCCGAGGCTAGTGGCACTCTGGTCACCGGCACGGAAAACGGTCCAATTACAGATGACGCCTTTGACCGGGGCCGCGTGTTTAACTACGCGCCGCAGGAAGGGGGAACAGCCTCGCCAAGGATCATCGTTAATGGATCGACCAGCACGGCCAAGATTGCTCGTCCGGCTTCCTTCCACGCGCGTGTAACTCGCGTGGCAATGAAATTTCCCGCGATACGAGCGGAATATGCGCGCCCCGAAACTCGAACGGTGTGGGAGCTTGGCTTTCGACGAGTGAATATAAGGTTGGATGCAAGGAGCGATGAAAAGAGGATGGATCGATCCGCGTAAATATCGTAGAAATCGTTGTGATTCGTTTAATGTTCTAATTAGGGGTAATTGTCACTAATCTCTGTAAGGGTAAAGGTAATTAGGAGGACTCGTGAGCGTTTTCGTGAGAAGCATTTTATTAAATGGGAGTTTGTAGATAACTATGAGGAACTGTGTGCTTCTTTTGATGAAGAAATTGAATAGATCACGTGTTGCGTCTTTATCTTTTTTCAGACTCGTAGAGCATGTAGATTAGTGGGTTAAAATTGTTTCGAGGAACTTCGTAAAGAATTAGTACGGAAAGG